GTAAGACATGGCTCATCACCACAGTGTGATACAAGACATGGTACATCACAGTGTGATGTAAGACATAGCACATCACCACAGTGTGATGAAAGACATGGTACATCACCACAGTGTGATGAAAGACATTGCACATCACCACAGTGTGATGTAAGACATGGTACATCACCACAGTGTGATATAAGACATGGTACATCACCACAGTGTGATGAAAGACATGGTACATCACCACAGTGTGATGTAAGACATTGCACATCACCACAGTGTGATATAAGACATGGCTCATCACCACAGTGTTATGTAAGACATTGCACATCACCACAGTGTGATACAAGACATGGTACATCACAGTGTGATGTAAGACATAGCACATCACCACAGTGTGATGAAAGACATGGTACATCACCACAGTGTGATGAAAGACATTGCACATCACCACAGTGTGATGTAAGACATGGCTCATCGCCACAGTGTGATATAAGACATGGCTCATCACCACAGTGTGATACAAGACATGGTACATCACAGTGTGATGTAAGACATTGCACATCACCATAGTGTGATGTAAGACATGGTTCATCTCCACAGTGTTATATAAGACATGGTACATCACAGTGTGATGTAAGACATTGCACATCACCATAGTGTGATGAAAGACATGGCTCATCTCCACAGTGTTATACAAGACATGGTACATCACCACAGTGTGATGTAGGACATGGCACATCACCACAGCGTGATTGAAGGTAGGGCACATCAACACATTCTCATAAATATGCTATCACAATCTATGTTCATGCTCTCTAGCCATTGTGATTTATAAGCATTATCTGATCGCTACATGTACATGTATAATGATTTGTTTGTTTTACAGAAGGCTTGATGGGTATGGCAATTGTTGGAGGAGCAGCATTAGCACTTGGTAGTCTGGTTGGCCTTGGTGTGGCATTAGCAAAGAAATCATGATACTGATGCTGATGTATATAGTCCTTTACTTATTTATGTTTTCCAGATAGAATTCTATCTACTTCTTGCCAGAATTGGACTATCATTTTTGTTTTTTGTCTTTTCGTTTTGTTTATTGTTCTATTTAAGATTTTAGTCGTTATTCTGCAAGCTTTTCACATATAATAATTGTTATGTGTTAGTATTGATTGCAGATCAAGTTGTTTGCCACTGTTAATGGTCAGATATTATTTACATTATCACCTCTGAGTATTCTAAGTTAACCTACCTATAGATGAATATAGTAAAACTAGACATACATATATTATGTTATGTACAAACAATGAATACTGTAAACAATACGAGATAAACTACAATAGGATAACTATATGTATAGCAATGGGTCACAACATGTATCTGATGTGCTTATTGTGATCTGCCACAACTATTTCCAGAGAATCAGATTTTTAAGGTAAGGGGAACGTCACCTGTGCAAGGGATCATAACAATGTATGCTAAAATCATAATCAGATTTTTAAGCTTTGTCATTATAATAAAATCACTGTTAAAGTCGTATAATCGGTGCCTTGGGCCACAGTCTTCTAGCATTGTTAATATAATAGGAGATTCTGTAAGTCTGAAATCAATTAAGATGTTACTGTTGTTTATTTTGGGAATTATCAACAATGAAACAAGACTGGAATTTGAATAATCTAGAGTGACAGCTATATTGTTTAGTTGACCTTACATGAACTTGTTAATTATGCAGCAACAGATTTTGTTCGTGTGCTCCTAAAAACACATCTTGCACAATTTCAACATACTGTAAAATACTTTATTTTTGCTGGGAATTAATTTTCGCTGTTTTCGCTAAAGCAATGATTCACTGAAGATGTATATTTCACATTCTTCAGCACTTTTAAGCAATGAGAATTAGGAAAGCAGAGATGAAGCTATCCTTACTAGAAATGATCTACAATGCTAATTATATAGGGCAGTTTGTTTAAATTCAGATTCTGCTCAACATTGTTATATGTTACTATTATAAATTTGGGTTTGGAAGTTATTTTCTGAAAATAAATTATATAATACTTAACACCACTCATATGACCCATAATTTGAGATTCATTTATTCCTGTAAAGACCAACTTTTATGCAGATTCTTAAACTGCAATTGTATCCTGTAAATGTCACACTTTCCTCACAGGAATCTAAACACCACATTGATTGGAATGTTGTAAACACATTTTCTTAATAAGAACCCCATAAAAAGCACACTTCTTTTATACACCATGCTTTACTTGAAGGAATTTTATAAACACCACATTTATACTCAAAAGAATCTTGTAAACACCACACTTTACTCGAAGGAATCTTGTGAGCAACACACTTTACTCACATGAATCTTGTAAATGGCCATACTTTAGTCACCGTTATTTTGTGAACGCCACTTTACTCTCAGGAATCTTGTAAACACCACACTTTACTCAAAGGAATCTTGTAAATGGCCACACTTTACTCACAGGAATCTTGTAAAATGGCCACACTTTACTCACAGGAATCTTGTAAATGGCCACACTTTACTCACAATAATCTTGTAAATACTACACTTTACTCAGTCATCTTGTAAATGGCCACACTTTACTCAAAGGAATCTTGTAAATGGCCACACTTTACTTACAGTAATCTTGTAAATGCCCACACTTTACTCACAAGTAATCTTGTAAACACCACACTTTACTTACAGTAATCTTGTAAACGTCACACTTTACTTACGGTAATCTTTAAACGCCACACTTTACTT